CAAAGAAGGATTTATGATGGGAGTGGTGAGACAGTGGAACAGCTGGATCAGAGAAGCAGTGGATGCCCCATCTCTGGAAGTGTTCCAGGCCAAGCTAGATGAAGATTTGAACAACTTGGTCTAGTGAAAGGTGTCCCTGTCCACAGAGGGATGGGTTAGAAGTAGATTATCTTGAAAGGTCCCTTCCAATCCAAACCCTTCAGTGATTCCATGAAGAGGGAATTAAAATAGCTACTGGTTGTATGAATCTATGCACGCAAGAAGAACAGAAGGGCAAATTCTTAGTCATACAGGTGTGTGAGCTGGCATTAGTTATAGGTCTTGACAAAGGTTAAGTTCTCTTATGAGAGATTCAGCTGGTAAAGGTATCAGAAACAACTCACACAAGTAATTTGCTTTAGTACCCCGCAGCTTCCCAATGAAACATTAGCCCTATCAACTCTAGCAACACTGGAAGGTTACAAATGCAATCTAAGCATACAATTGCAAACTGCCTTTAATCCCCCAAATCACTTGTTAAGCAGTTAAACATGACAGGACAGGGATCAGCATGGCTGAGCTACCTGAGCAGGGGAGTTAATATTGCACCTGCTGAAGCCTACTCTGCCAGTGTACAACTGGGGAAGGAAGCCAGTTCAAGTTTGCTTCCACGTGCGCATCTGTACTGTGATCCATCAATCTCAACACTCAGACTGACAAAGTAGCACTCTTGCTCTCATTCAAGCCCTTGGACAAAAACAGCAGTCTATTAAAATGCATTCTATTTTGTTACAGCCACAAGCCAGTTTATTTTCTGGAAGCACCCTGCTCCCTGGTATGACTAGCAAGCAAACATTAAATGAATGTAAAATGAAGTTCAAGATTCCACATCTGGGCCATGGCAACACCAGGCACACCTACAGGCTGGGTGGGGAAGTAACTGAGAGCAGCAACGAGGAGAAAAAACTTGAGAGTGAAAGTGGATGAGACGCTCACCATGAGCTGGCAGTGTGTGCTAGCAGCCCAGAAAGTCAAGCACGTCCTGGGCTGCATCAAAAGGAATGTGGCCAGCAGGTCAAAAGAGGTGATTCTTGCCCTCTACTCTGCTCTCATGAGACCCCAACCTGGAATACTGCATACAGTTCTGCTGTCCTCAACATAAGAGGGACATGAACTGTTAGAGCAAGTCCAGAGGAGGGACACGAAATTGATAAGAGGACTGGAGCATCTCCCCTATGAAGACAGACTGAGAAAGTTGGGGCTGTTAAGCCTAGAGAAGAGAAGACTGCGTGGAGACCTCATAGCAACTTGTCAATATCTGAAGGGACTACAAGGGAGCCAGAGAGGGACTCTTTGCTAGGAACTGCAGTGATAGGACAAGGAGTAATGGATTCAAACTGAAGGAGGGGAAGATTAGGCCAGATATTAGAAAAAAGTTTATTACTATAAGGGTGACGAGATATTGGAACAGGTTGCCAAGGGACGTGGTGGCTGCCCCGACCCTGGCGGTGCTCAAGACCAGGCTGGATGAGGCCTTGAGCAACCTGATCTAGTGAGGAGGTGTCCCTGCCCAGGGCAAGGGTGGAGGTTGGGACTAAATGATCTGTAAGGTCCATTCCAACCTTTAAATTCTATGATTCTATGATTTACAGGAAAGGCATACTGTGCATAGTTCCTACCAATATAGCATGAAGTCCAAAACTCCAAATCTACAACGAACTCAAGGATTCTCTTTTTTCAGGATGTTAAATTGTGAAAAGAGGCAGAAGGAAGATGACCAAAAATTATCTAAAGTTTGAGAATACTGAATGGAGCTCTGAGGAACCTGGTCCAGTGAAAGGCTGGAACTAAATGAACTTTAAGGTCTCTTCCAACCCAGGCCATTCTATGATTCCATGATTCTGCCCCAACTAACTTAAATAACCAACTGTGCTCCAGAACTTAAGTAGCATTTGTAATACGGATTTTAAAAGAAATTGAAGTTCAAAGTCTGTTTTAAAGTAATCACGAAACAGAATGAGAGTGAAATACCTAGAGCAAGGGGGAAAAGCCTGAACACGCGTAGGTGAGCGTATCTACCACCACTTCCACAAGCAGCAAGACTAACCAGGATAAGGGAAACACTGGCCCCTAGTGTTGGCATTTTAACATTTCATTCAGTGTGGGATTAGGGTGTTTCATTCTGTTTCTCTGATACCTACCTTCCCTTTACAAAATGAAGAGCTTAGCAATTTGCATGGAATGCAGTTTTTCACCTCTCCGTCCATGCGGCTACAGGCTTTGGTGTGCACTTCACTATGCCTACAACAGCCTTGAGAAACCCTAAACTGTGACTGCTGTATGAAAAGGAACACATCTCTTCACCCACTAGCACATGGAAACTTTGTGCAATACAAGAATTTTTTTTAATACACTATCTATATCAAATTACAACAGCTTTGCATAAAATAACAGAAAAAAATCTGAGAACAGAGTTTTATAAGTAGAAATTACTTTCTATACCTACATTTGTCTGAGATTTATGAATTAAAACTTGAGAGGTCTATGGTCTGTACACGCTACCATCTAAGAACACCTTTTGGTTTCTTATCCATGAAATTAACAGTTTGTTTTACTGTATAAAGCCCAAATTCCAATGGAAGAGACATGTAACGGAATCTGTATCTGATCATTACAAAAGTATGTTTACCTTTTCAATGATCTCATAGCATTCCTCCAGCTTCTGAGCTCTGTCTTTGAGAACTGTACTGGATTCGTTGTAGACATTCAACCACTCTTTATAAGAGTTCTCTGACAGATCTGCATAAGCAATGCACAATGTCCTCAGACCTACGAAACAGAAGACAGCCATTACCCACAGTAAAATTACAGTGAATTATCGTCAAGTCATTCATGAAGTCATTCATTAATGTTCCATTCTAAACCTCTCCCTGGAACAACAGCAGCTTTTAACACACACTTTAAACTCCGAATTCCACAAAATCTCCCTGTACATTTTTAAAGCACTCAGATTTGCACAAATGCAAACCAAAAGTCTGACTCATTTTGGCCACTAAAGTTGACGCAAATCAACAGAGTCTAATGGCCAAAACCATAGATGTCTCCAGTCCCTGATTTTCAGTATCGCAATCTAGCAACTGCAGCAATAAAAGCATCATCTTCAATCTTTTCAGTAAGTATGAAAGCAAGCTTGGCTTTCATGCATTTTTTCAAAAGACCAAATTTAACACCTGGCTACATGCTGTGACTGGAGATTCTACTTAACCAAACATATTGCACAGCCCACAATTCCTTTCAGTGAGACTCTTTTCTCCTTCAGTGTATGCATGTAACTCACATGAATAATGGGAGTTACACACACATGAAAGAGTGAATAGGGTCCATGAAATATGAAAAACATTTAATTGGACCATGGACAAAAATTAACATACAGAGTACTTAATTTTTTTTTCTAGCATGAATCAAGCAGAAAGGAGTGTGCCCCGTAAAATACAAAAGTTCCATTATTGAGAACATGGGAGTCTGAAAAAATACATTTTTTAAAAGCTGAATGTTGTTTTCAGATTTAGGAAGAAAACCACTGGTTTGTGGTTTTAGTGCAACACAAGTATCTCATGCTACTGCAGAAGAGAGGAAAAAAGCCGAGTGCTTCCCTGTGAACAGAGCTGTTACATCAGTCAATGGCCTTACAGACCCTTTCAGATCATCTCTGATGCCTTACTCTTCTAGGCTTCCCAGCATGTTCAAGTTATCACTCTGCTTCATAAAGCCAAGGACTTTGACATCTGTCTTTTACACTGGTAAAAACACCTCTAACTTCAATGCAACTGTGTTATTCTGGGCAATACAACTCATACCCTTTCTCTTCATCATGGATACATATAACACTGGATTTTCCTTTCAAATTTCACTTCCCTACTGAAATCACACCAAAGCAGGGCCAATACATCCTTCGGCTTTAAGTCATCCTACAGTTGTTAATTTGCTGATTACACACCACTTCTTAATTTACATTCATCATCTTACTTGACACTCCATAGCTTAGACAACGCAGAAGATACTGCAAGTAATTTGATACACTGAATTCTCATGGCATGCTGTTTCTCTTACCTTCTGTTGCGAAGTATTCAAGATGGCACAGTGTTTGCTCCATATACTGGGAATCTTTTGAAAGCCTCTCAAAAATTACATTATCCTATTAAAACCAAATTCATTACAACAGAGTTAAGTCTACATATGAAGTTTCCATTTGTGTTTTTACAAGCCCAAGTGAAGCAACCTGAGTGGACTTGCTAGTATGAAAACCACGACTATATTTACATGTAATACATTTGTGTTTTAGAGACTAATACGTGTAATTAACCTGGATTGTGCCCAGTGGCAGACATACTACATCCATGTTAAATATGGGGACAGAAGAAAACACTGCCCTCCTCCCCCTCTTTCCATAAAGATGTCCCCATTATCAGGCAGTACAGAACACTTCTTTCTAAATCACTAAGAGCCAATATATTGATGTACAAATATAAGTATCTGGTTTTATTCAGTATATACTGTAGTCCCATGCAGAAAATTTCCTGCAATCCTTTCTAGCACATTTCTATCGATGTCAGAAAATAAGAGGCAGAAACACTGATCATGTTCTATCACAAAGTTCTCCGAGAAATAACCTTCCTCTTGCAACAGTTTTTCTACCACTAAATGAAAGGATAACTGAAAAGGCTCAGATAAAAGCTGCAATCAAAATATATCACTATCACCTACATATGTAGAATCTCTGAATTTTATTTTGCAACTATCAGAGCAGCTTGCTACACACACGTAAAACACATAAACCCTGGCTTTTACTCGTATATACACTCTTAAGGTAAGTAAATAGGTCTACATCCAGCATTGATTAGAGATAAGCATAAAAACCCACTTATTATGGGAGCAACAAGACAGAAGGTGACTATGAGAATATGTTAATGTAGAATAGGCAGTTACCTTACAGTTCAGATGAGTGGCAGATGCAGCAGAACATACAAGACAAACTACCAGATTACACTAATCACTGCTAGCCTTTTGTTCTGTTAGTACATCTAGGCCTGCTCATACAGAAGAAATTTGGTACTACAAACTCTCCTGTTGTCCATTCCTTCCAGTGCCACACTCCAAAAAACAGCACGAATTGAGACACAGAATGAACAACAAGCAGTTGCACATCTATGTGGTCCTACCAGACATGCAACTGTGAACCACCACGCAATGGCAGAGAGCTTAATTCACTTCACCACACCAGCATGAAGCCAGCACATGTTTATCAAACTAGGGGAGTTAAACTGAAGCAAGAGAGTAGTGCAACTCACACCTATGTCAGGACAAATTCAAATAAACCAAATGCTTACAGAGGCCCGAAATAGTTTTCCCTGTTGAAGAAAAGCCACCTCCATTTCCCAATGAAATTACAACCATTCTTTGGCTGCGGACAGTGCTAGTTTTGCAGCTTTTGTACTGTGATAAGTTATTGCTTTTGTCAGTGAAGATAGAAGCACAACATGGTGCAAGTCATGATGACAAATAACAGCAGGTACAGAAATGCAAGAGAGTCAGATCAAGAGCCAACCACTTGAGAACAGATTTTAGTATTAAAACTCAGACAACAGCATTTAGTCCAGCTCCTGAACTCCTGCTGCACAGCTGAGTGAAATCCTGACTTCACTTAAATAAACGGTACTGTTCCCATTAGTTTCAGGATTTCAACTGAGCAGTAGAAAGCCTAGAAATCTTCCTGCCTGCAAAAGGAGTCAGAGGAGGAATGACAGCTCTCTTAAATCACTCGGCCCTAAACAGAAAGCCAACAGGTATTATGCATGAGACATGAAACGCCAGCACCAGCCACAGCTGTTGAAACAATAACTGGTAGTGTTAATTCTCCATTAGGCAGCATAATTACTTACAGCCCCTTTGCAGTAGAGACGTAGCTGTCCTGCTGGAGTTCGAACAATCACCGACATTCTCTTCCTGTTGCTATTGAAAGAAAAACACTAGCTGTCATTAGTCTAAGAGATGAAGAGCAATTCCTGTTCTAGCCAGTGAACTTCCTCAGATGTGTTTAGTGCATCTGATATCAGATGACATAACAGCAGTAACTTAAGATCCCACAACCCTTGACAGCAAGGAGAAATATTAAATTGCCCATTTCCAGCTTCAGCCCTACAGCTCCCATTGGCCAGCACTCAACCAGAACACAGGCTTACACCCTAATGTGAGTAAGAACTTGGAAAAGAGCAAGATAGTATAAAACACTCTTGAAAGAAGGGGAGTCACATTTATCCTCAGTTTTCCCTTATTCCTTGAGAAAAATTGTTTTGGGGACTGACTCTAGAAACAGAATTCTTAAGGTTGAATGCATCTTTATTATAGGCATAACAGACATGGAAACAACCATCCACTGACAAGGGCAATCATTTAACATCCTAACTCAAAAGAAAGCATTGTAGAAAGGAATCATGGTATAGACCAGTTCTTGGCCTCCTTACAGGTTTTTTATACTGGTCTGATCAGACCTATGTAGCTGGGATTCTGTAGAATGAAGTCAGACCCCCTGAACAAGGCTGCTTATCAAGACAGTCAAGTTTGGCGCACATCTCAAAAAGAAAATAAAGGTAGACAATAGCATGCTGTACATTCACATTTAACAAACGAAGGTGGGCAAGGATAATATTTTTTTACATTAAATTTTGCCATTTTCCTTATCAATCTCTCCTTTAAAAGATCTACTGGGAAAAAAACCCTACAGCTTGACAGAGGTAAACAAATCAACTCTCAGAAAGGGAATCTTAAGACCATGAAGTTACATATAAATCTTTTCCTTAGCCAAAGGATAACTTGGAAGCATGCTCCTTCCTCACTCCCTTTTTACCAATGGACACAAACAGATCAGAGTGTGGAAGAATCTTGCCTCTCCTCTTCCGGTCACTAACTCTGAGTCTCTTTTCAGAGCTCAAGAGCCATGTATAAAAACATAAGATCTTGGCATGTATCATCAGACAAAAACAATCCTTTCTGAGACTTGCTGAAGAGGGGTTGAAGGACAGCAATTCGCTGCATGCAGAATTTCTGCAACATGCTAGTGACATTGGGAAACTTCCATGTGCTGCTTTTTGATATCTAATTATAGGAACTCCCTCACTGGTCAAATGGTAAGTTGCTACACACAAGGAAGAACTAAGACAGCTTTTTTTTGCTGCATGCAGGCTGCAGCTACTCCTATCTACAGATGCCAGGGCACGTGTCAACTTGTCAGAAACCCTTCAAGACTTTTAGTGCCTTTTTGGATATTTCCTAGAAGTACCTTAAGTAGCTACATTCTGACTGAAAAGGGGAAGTAGTCAAGAATAATCTTCTTCAGGAAGTTCAGCTTTCCTACTGCATCAACTGAATCTTTCTATTCTCAATAACATTTTTACAAGAATGGTTTTATAATTACCCTGCATTTAGTATATTAGAGGAAACCTTACCTGGAAAACTCCAGCACATTAAGAATTTCAAAGGTCTCTTCTTTTCCCAGCTACAAAAGAAAGCATGTGCTATTATAAGTACAATCTGTAGTATGTTCCTGCACGTGCAAACAGGCTAGCTGCTTAGTCACCTTGGGTTACACCCCCCAGTGCCAACAAATGCGGCAATGGCTCCCTCCTCTGGTTAGAGTATGCAGAGCCCTATTTAATGAAGCCTCTCCACTCTCGAACATCCAATTCCTGCGGCATCCTTCCATTACAAGCAGTTAATATCTTACTCCGTAAGGATAAGCATGCTCTGAGAGCTAAGCTGCACATTTACTTCTTAACAGAGACTTATTACAGACTGTGAGCATTTTTCCAAGTTAAAATAAACATGCTATCCAGATTTAGTACTATAATAACCTTTGACTGAGCTCCCTTAACATCTTTTACTTGAATTTACAAAAATATTAATTATATTTCTCATGTTAGAAAAAGTTAACTGAGGAGAAATGCCCTTTCAACTAAGAAGCAGTTTCTGAGAAGTTGTAAAAAGTTTGGTGACAAGTCCTAGAAGATATGCTTTAAGTGCTTAGCTTGGCAGTGTACCAAGCAATTTGAAAATGAATGCACCTGAGAGGAAGAACAAGAACACATCCATCATTCTTAATCAGCACCCTACTAGTTTCATCTGTGTAAATCTGGAGCCAGTTTAGCTTAGACTGCAACTTAAGTCCAAATGTGACCCCGTGAGTTCAAGAGTGCCTGCGTCAACTGTAATCCATGAACCATGCATCCCTGGATACAGCACTTATAAAGCAGATACATCTACAGAACATCTTAGAAGAAAAACTCCGTTGTAATACAAGAAATGAAACATTTAGAAAACCAGTAACTATTTAACAAAACAGTCAGAAAATCTCAAAGACATGAATTTCCTTCTAGTGTAGGTGTTCTCATCTGCGCTTCCCAGACCAGAGACGTATTCTTCAGGCACAGCTGCTGTCATTTCCCATGTAAGCTTGCAACTCCCTATTGCCCATGCCACACAGAACGGCAAAGGACTTGGCATCTTAAAATAAATTAAGACAACACTTCCCAGCCTGCAAGAGCCTTTTTCATGTGTCATCCTAAAGGCCCTGTAAAGGGGCACTCACAAGAGCCACAAAGGACTATTTAGGCTGTGCATAACTTGATGCCCTGTGCTGAGCACATCTAGCACTTACCGCATCAATGATAACCGAATGTGGAGTCCGTCCTGTGAAGACATAACCAAGCTTTTTTGCTCCTTTCACTAAGGCCCCTTCATCTGCCAATACAAAACAAAGCAGCTTAAATGTAATCTGTATGTAAAAGAGGCCTGCAAACACCATACTTACATATGCCACACTGCTGAAACAGAAGCCCCCTTTCCCTGATACTCCCATGTGTAGGGCTGCTAGAGTAGCTTTGCCCACCCTTCTGCAAAAGCATTCAACATTTTAGTCCTACAAAGACCAGCTACACAAACTTCATACTCCATCTGTATAAAACACGCTGTACCTACTGAAGCATTAAACTCTATTCTTGTGGAAAAAACAGACTTTCCTAGTTGAAAAGGGAGAAATAACTCTTCTGAAAGCAAGATCAAAGCTGTGTTAGTCTAAACTCCTACAATACGCATTTAATCCATTTTCTGCTGTAAAGGCATTAAATTCAGGTGCTATAGAAATACAGCATTGTCTTCTGGAGACTGAACTGGGCAGTGTCATTAAGAGCTCAAATAACAGAGCTGAAACCAGAGTCAACACCTGTACCTCCAGTAGGTAGTTACAGAGCCTCATTAAGGAGCAAGTGTCATTAAGGACAACCACCATGTATGTGGATTTAGAACAAAATTCAAGCAACCCTGATGTCTCTACAACTTAGTCTCCTATTAGTCTCCACAGTTCATCACATTGACCAGAGCTTCCTTACATGGGCTCTTCATGCTCCTTTTCAGACACTCTATTAAGACATAAATAAGAAATGTCGTTGCTTCATCACTCAATACACCACTACAGCAATTCTAGAAGTATCCTCAGTAACAGACAAACTTAAGAGAACAGGGCCCTGCTGTTCTGCATTCTGGCCCTGTCTGCATAAAGTCCAGAGTAGGAGGTATCATAAGAGCCAAAGGAATCATAAGCCCAGCCTGTCTTTAAAGGAATATCGTGGACTTCGTGGTTTTGTAGGAGGCATTCAAAAGCACGGTGTACTGATCACAGAAGATGCCAGACCTACTGCTAGCATCATGGGGGTTTATCCTGCTTTCAAAAATCAATGACCATGACAGGATTGCTTCCATTTTGCTTCCATCTACCTCTACACCTTCAGCTCCTCCCCTCCCCAAAAAAATCAAAACCAAGCAACCAACCTGGAGAGGAGGCCTGGTAGATTATCGTGTTTCCTTGTCTTTCAGGAACAACAGTATGACACACAGCCAGCAGCGTGAGGAACTCCTGTATGTGCACTGCTGTGGGCTAGACAGGACACCAGGAGAGTGAGGTTAAACATTACACACAGACTGTGGTACCTGTTCACTAAACTGAGAATACTTCTTAGACCCCACAGACAACAAAAATTTAAAAAAAGAGACTCTGTTTTCTATTTATAGCAGTTGTCTTGGTCCCAGAACATCAAGACAGAGTTCAGGGTCACCACTGATCAGCTAGAGTGCTAATAATAGTCTTCAGTTAAGCTGCAGAGAGCTAAGAAGCCAGAATATTTCCCCCATTCCCCCCAAATATCAGAGTACTAGTTCTGTAGCAGGCCAAGCTTCATATAGGCAAATATGTCTGCCACAATATAATGACAATCAAGCAACAGGAAATACTACTATGGCAGCTTTCAAGAGACCAATAGCAACCACACCAGAATTAAACTTGCTGCAACTGCACCCTTAGTGGTGAACACCTATGACAGCAGCTGAACAGCCAGTAAAGATGACAGTGCATGTCCTTCCACAGGGATACAGCATCCAGCCAAGCAGAAAATTAATCAGTGGTCCCTACACATTCAGCATCACAAAAACATGCAATATAAAACACTGTTCACAGCCACTTCAAAGTGCTTAAAGAGACTCAGCAAAGATGCTATGGCACTTAAATCACGGGACTCTGATCAGCCAACTCTAACAACTGTAGCCATAGTGACGTGAAATTAAGTCCCACGTCCCATTCTTCCCTCCATTCCACTTCTGCCTCTGACACAGTATTTACAGTCCTTGAGCAGTTAGGAATGGTACTCAGCTGCCCAGCTCCCAACCTGGCCTACTAACTTCATTCACAGTTCACAGGGATCTTCCAGATGCTTGGATGAAACAGATGAAGTGAACACATGGTTCCCCTTCACCAAATTTGTTATATCCATAACATCCACAGCTGGTAGCATCAATGTCTTCTATCACAGCAGCCATCTGCTCAGGGACTGAGTCAGACATGAACTTAGTAGTTCTAGCTTTGCAGAAAGCCTTACTTGTCTTAGCACACTCTCAGAATTTTTGCATATAAAAAATATCATCCTGCTTCCAAAGTTTTCATTAACACAGCATACACACTGGCAATATCAAGGTTTAATTAATAGAATTTAATTACTATGAAAGCCACAAAACCATGTCAGCTAGCAAATGTTAACACATGTAAACTAAATAAGCATATCAGAACATAGTGTAATAGTCTGAAGACCCAATACCTATATTCTTGTTTTGCTTCATCTACATTGTCATGAATATTTTCAAAGTACCTGTTTCACACAGGACCTTTATCTTTGCCTACCAAAACTTCCCAATTGTATGGTCACACATGCCACTAAAATAACAGCTGTAGCTTTTGACATGCTGAGGTACAGAGGCTATTGTTCAGGAAAATGAACAGATGGATTATAATCAGAGACTAGTGGTCAAAATGTTAAGTCCACAGCGAATTATGGTCAGGAGGTTACTGCTGCTCCATTATTTCCACTGAAAGCAATGAAAGTTTTATCTTCATCTCAAAATGCAGAGCCTGCCAGATTCTTGCTTCAGCATCCACTGCTGCAGACCTTTGATGTCCTTCTTATACTTTTATCACCTAGTCCCTTAACATGATTTCAGAGTAAGTGTTCTATCAGCTGGAAACAACCTGTCTCCAGTAATGACACAGATTTTAATCCTTCCTGTGTATATATTTATGTTTTCAAGCCAGCAACATTATTTTCTGCTGCCTTGGTATTTCCACAGCTCACAATGTATTACAGGGCAATCTTCCAATTCTATAGCAACAGATCACTAGAGGCCCAGCTTATCACATCAGCTCTTCCACACAGCTGTCATTTGTTTCCTTCCTGTATTGTTTCAGCACTGACAATATTTGTGGCACAGGCATTAATCAGGGCAAAGCATCCAAATTTCCACTTCAGATCTATGAACAGAAAATTCATTCATGGCTTCTGTGCATCACATCCCTCCTAACATGCCCAGCACAGGACACAAGTCCCACAGGTTAACCAGCTCTGCTTTACTACATGTTTTCCTAGAGTAAGTATCTGACATTTCAGTACTCAAATTCTTACTGATGATCTGAGAAACTCTTTTCCTGCTCATTTGTTAAGGTCATCCCATTTTTTCCTCTCTACTCATCTACAGGTTGGAACAAAGTATGCATATTTTAGTCTCTTGTTCATCTGTCCACAGGTAGTTCTCATTTTAAGTGTTTTCTTCCCTCATTTTTATCCTGTGCAACAACAAGTCTGGGTGAAAGCCATTGCTTCTTTCTCAGTTGCTTTTTTTTTTCCCAATGATCCATGAAAAAAAAAAAAAAGGTGTACAAACACCTAGACCAGTGACATACCCCACTGGCTAACTTTATTTTGCTCACTGTCCCTATCAGCTGAGAACCACAGACACATTGAAACACAGTCCCATACTTCTCAAAGCAGTTTCGGAATTATTATCTAGAAAGCATCACCCTCAGAAAAGCAAAGTTTAGCTATCTAGAAGGCACAGCATTATCTATTTATTATCAAGCAGGGCACAGACCACTGGTCAGGAAGCTGTATCACAAGTTTTCAGCCCTTCGTGGTCCCCTTATTCAGAGGAACAAAACACTGAGCCAAACCTCAGTTTTTAGGGAGCAAACTGCACTCTGCAGAGCTATATATCTGCACATGTGTACGTCCTTATCTGGGCTTCCTCCCTCTGAAGACAAACTGCTTTTCTCTAGTCAACTATTCAGAGTCTGATAAAATCACAAAGAAGTTCTGTGTGAAGTTAAAAGGTATTTTTCATCTCTCCTTTTACTTGTAGCAGTATCAGATCAGTACCTCCATTGACATTATTTCCAGGTGAGCAGGACTGACAGCTTTATGAGCAAACGGCCTAAAAACGGCCAATGATATATCAAAGCACAGTCTAACAACTGCAGCTGACTGTTTCGCATAGAACTGGCATATTATGCCAAGGACAACTAGGAAAATATCTACTACATTACCAAGGAGAATTATGACTCACCATCTCAAGAAGGTGTGAACTTCCTACAGTTTAATTCACTAAGATATCTGGACAGCAGTGTGAGGATCCATGCATGTTGAGCACCTCCCAAACAATGAAGCACAGACTCAAAACATTAACCAGCATTTGAATAACAAGAGAGTTAAATGCCAGTTTACCTTGTCCAAAACCAATGAAAGGTGACCTTTAAAGAGACTGCCTTGCGCTTGAACAAAAGTACCAAAGCCCCATGCACAACAAGAACAAAAGAGTGAAAAATAGTTTTCACCAAGCTCTACCAGTTTAATTGAGCTATATAAAATCACATGTTTGGACAGTTTTTCAGCAACAGATACTTTCTGAACTAGAGCCTCCCAGAGGCTCTCACCACCTGCATGTATTTTCCCTCCACTGTATTTCAAATTCCAGGTTTTCATCTCAGGTAGTTGTGATATGCTTTCCTGGTTCTGCTTTCCTAAGGAATAAAGAACCAGCTGATGATAGCTGTCATTTCAACAAAAACTGATGAGATAATAGCCTCAGTTCCCACATAAAGAAGCAAATACGTCAGTCAGGTCTAAATGAACACTTTCAGTGTAGTAAAGGCTCAACATGAGCACAAGTTGTCTGTTCTGCCTACCCAGCTGCTAAACAACTCATCACACACTCAGTGGATCAACTCATGCATCAGCAGCTATACCATACGTTTGCTGCTTCTTGGACAACAGGTAATTTGGGGGGCCACAGAAGTAAGTTCATCTGATAGCTGGTTAGTAGATGAGGTTCAGAGAGAATCCAGGGAGATACACGAGTACAGGATGAGATACAAGTTTATTAGCACATTTATTTCTTTGACTGCTTTCCTGGGTCTCCTACCATTGGGGTAATAAAACATATGCCCACATCAAAGTTAAAAATCATCTAGCATATTCACCAAGCATTCTTTCAAGACTTTGGAAATAACTGATCTTTTCTTACTAGAGTAAGAGTTTATGCCAGTTTCTCTACAGAAACAAGCCAGCATCATACACTTGGTAGAGCTGTACAGTTCATCCAACAGAAGCCAATACAAAGGAAAAGCATAGCCAGACAAATCTAGATACTTTCTTCCACATTAAAATCCCAGAGCAGACAAGAGAAATCTCCACATATTTTCCAAGTTATTTTTCCTTGGAACATTTCCTACGGTGCAATAATACTTTAACTGCTACTCAGGAGTGGACTTGGCTATCAATCAGCCCTTACACATCAGTGGGCCAGAAGAGCTATGAAATTCAGAGGTGTTGCAGGATGCTAAAAATCTTCCTAGCAGATAGAAGACAGTATCATGAGTACCAGACCATTATTTTTTTACTTTCAACCTGGCAAGAAAATTGCTTTACACTCTAAATTAACACCTGTGACTGGACTGAAAAAGAGGATTAAAATCTTCAAGACCAGAGCAATGAGCACTTAATGATAGTTTGTAGAAGATCACAATCCACAGCTTCAGCTGCAAACGGGCAAATGTTAAAGGGCATTAATAGCCCAATTGCACACAGCACCATCTAGTCCCACTAGGCAGCTTGTGCTAGAACACTTCAGTTTTATCACCTCAGTTCACTAAATGAGCAGAAATTGAAAGACATCTGCAAATGGCATCTGCAGCTATCTGTTAGCTATGCAAAGTAAGACACTACAGGGTTTTAAATAGAAAGGAATACTTTATTCACCTTAGCAACTGACCTAATACAAAAAGCTAGAATGACCCTTTGCTCTACCTCTATCCTGGAATTCAGTCCCCATCTCACTGATACCATCTGACAAATACACCTGAACACACCAAGCAAACTGTCACAGGCAGTCCCTGCATGCCTATGTCCTGTGCTAAATCGCCACTTGCCAGAGGGTGGCACCCATTCCTCCAGTACAGCCATGCTCTCGAAGATATATTTGGCCTACACAAGGTACATCTTAAGTTTCATTAGCCAGAAGTTTGCCCACCAATTGTCTGAGGGCTGAGTTCACACAGTGCACTCACCCCAGCACTCAGCTGTGCAATGACAACAGTATTTATCTGTTTAAGTTGCCAGCTGAACGGAAGCTTAATACATTTGGCTCAGCATGTAAAGAACAAAGACTTCTGAACTGTCTGGACTAAGTTATACCTAAGGAAGCTACCAAAATCCTTTATTTGCCTGGTACAACAGCAAATATTCCTTCCACCTCCCAACACAGAAACTCTACCCAGAGAAGATTCACGAACTAGACAGCCCAAAGTTAAGGGGCCATCTCAAGGCTAGATGAGAAATTCCATCTCACAGACTATTTCATATATGTCCCTTCTGCTGAGTCTATTAAAATGTACCAAAGCACTCTTCCGTACAGATGCCTAAAGCAACCACCAGCAAGACATCAAACACACTTTACCTGTAGCCTACACCTGTAGCCTTCCATTCAGAAGGAATACCAGGAGTCACCAACTGCCATAAGCCATAACTGTAGCCAGAAATGAACAAACAGAACACAAAGGAACAGGACGACACCCAAATCTTGGCTGCAACTGACGCCCACTGGGAAATCCAGTGCACAATTACAAAATTCACACAGGAAACCAGTGCACAGTTCTGGGAGGGTCACCTTGCTGGAGGTTAGAGCACAGGAGTCATCTTTACGCTCCATCAGCCTGAGGAATGCCTAAGTGCCACACCAAGTAATTAAGTATTCCTTCAGGCACTTACACCATGCTGCATTTCAAGTTCTGAATTACTATACAGCAGAGCAGAGAGCAAACAAACAATATACTGCAACTATATTTTAGATGCTCATATTAAACTCAACCAGCCCAGTTACTGAAGTTATACTGTCTAAGGAGAACAATCAGCTGATTAAGTCTGTCCTTGCCAGTGCCCAGATCCCATACTGTGAGACAGCCTGCAGAGAACAAGGAACTGCAAGTGTCTGAATTGTCTGGTGTCCAGTCAGACACTCTGTAGCTGCATGATTTCCAAATAAACAATGAACTGACACTCTAAAGACCAGGCCCCTTTAGGACTCAGCCAGTTATGCTAAGATCACTATCACTGTGCCTCATGCTAAGCTTAAATTTGCAAGTACCACTCGTTAAATCTTTTACATAACTGGAATTCCAAACATTTGCAATACTTACAGCAAGGCTCGTACCAGAACCACTTCAAAATAGTATTCTAACAGTATGGATGTTTGAACACTAAACAGTTTTTTCTTTTAAAGAATTACCATCTCTATCATAATTTGCTGCAAAACACAGTAGCATATATGAAGCTGTTTCATAGGTAGCTGGTATCCATAATTCATTAGCAAGGCAAGTGGGCAGAAAGGCGTTGGAGGGAGCTATTTTGATTCCTTTTCTACCCCCTCTGTGCTTGCATGACACACTTACGGAGCAGACTTAACCACACAAGTAGATTTGTTTAGCATTTAATTCCAGACAGGCCCAGAATAGGGTGTTTAAGAGGTGAGATATTCCAAGAGTACACTTACATGATCATTTTCAATGTTTTGCAGCAGTCTTGGGTCATCAAATTCACACGATTCACTGGTGGAAGGAGGTAGCTGGCTGCAGAGCAAAACAAGCATAATCAAACAAGTGACAACACTGCCAATCTTTCTACTTCATCTATTTTCTTGGGAAGCAAATGTCAAAAACTAAGTTAAAACTCCATTGTCCTTGAAAGCATTGTGAAAAGATCATATTAGTAATGCATAAAGTGCTGAAAATGAGGACCAACAAGAAATCAAAAATCATTATGGCTGACAGTGCATTTGAGAAGATTCAAGTGTCAAAGCACCTCTTGGGACAGTTGTATCAAAATGCAACTTTTACATATACTTGAAATATATAGATTTCAGGGTGAGGTGCTTTTACAATAGATCAAAGTTCACTATCCCTAAGCTCCCTCTCTACTCAGAGTTCTGCTTGAAGTTGACTCCAGGAGCATTTAAAGCCTAAGTGCTCCAAATAAGTACCTGGAAGAAGTTTCTACTGAACTGACTAGAAAAGAAACACATGAGAAAAGAAAAGATGGCAATGAAAGAAACAACAATATACTTGAAGAAGCGTGGCATCAATAGAAATTACATCCCAGCAGAAGATGATGTTCATTGTATCACCTTCCTGAAAGATGATCATAAAAATGAGCTGGACCAGTGGAGAAGCCTAGCTTAGCACATCAGCAAATGCTTTTCTAACAGCATTCAGCATTTCTTGGGTAATAACTCACTTCTTGCCTATATTTGCCATTCAAAGCCACATCAGCCCTCCCTGGCTCTTCCCCTTCCTCCTTATAATCTATCTGAACATGCTACACTAACACCTCTGTAACACCTCTGAGTTTTTACTTCTTTCTATAGAATGGGACAGATCCATCACCTCTATTCATTAAAGTTATGAATAAAAAAAGGAGTGGGATTCTCTTGACGTAATACACCTCCATATCAAGCTCTCTCCCAGTTCAATTATTAAAACAGCATTTTAATAAAGAAGTCCCTTTTCTTCTTCTTGTCAGATCTGAACTTGGTGACTACAAAGAGTAGCATTTGGTATCTAGTTGGAGGTGAAGTTACTGTAAAGCAGGTTAATTTTAGCTTTTAACTTGACTGTCTGCATTTATAAATAAGCACTGCATTAGTATCCAAACTAACAGCCACTGCCTATTCCTCACCCCCCTTCACACACACCGTGTCTCTATGCAGAAGAGAAGATCCATCACCACCCACCAGCTCTGCATTTGGCTCCCACTGGAAGACCATTTTACTCAAACACATTGCTCCTGTGGGCTTCTTACAATCCCAAATTAGAAAGCAGTCTTTATATAGATTGCACCCACACTGCTATACAGAACACAAACATCTTGGAATATATTTACCTGAAGTCTTCTGATGAACGTTCTCTTTCCAGCTCAGGAAAGTGACTGAAGGGTAGAACAAGGAATAAAGAACATTTATTCCACTTTGGTAACCAAAAAATATGTAAAAGGAAAAGATTGAGTCATCACACATAAAAACATATGCTGGAACCATGGGTTCAGCTGTTCATACATTTGAATCAAGTTTTCTGCCTTTTGAGATATCTAATTTAGCTACCATGAAATTCAAAGGTTAACTTGCACAGAGATCTTAAGACAACCCACTTAAAACTAAGCAAATACAAAGATTTAGTATTCAAGACTCAAAAGGCCAAGTACTATGAAATACTGGCATGACTCAAAGGGATCCTTCTGACAGAAACAGAACAAAACCAGTAAGCAAGTATCCCTCCTGTGCAAGGAACTCTACAATTACAGCTACACTGTCCTAATAAAATCCGGGTTCATCTGAACAAGTCACAGAAATATGACTGATAATTGCTACCCCTGGGCTGCAACCTCTTCCCTCTGGAAAGGTTAGAGGTTGCTTAGCACTTCTGGTTCTGTTTAAATCACGATCAGACAAGTTTAGAAAGGAAGTTTCCTTGACTTCATATGAAGTACTCTCCAGGTTTGAATTTTGTAATTTGTGCTGCAGGACATGAAAATGAAACCTATTGAGACCACAAAATGTACTAAAATACAAACTGAAGAACAGAGTATTCTAATGCTTTTCCAATATAAAAGTTGGTACCAGTAGTGCGCACACATTAAGCTATAGAGTTTCTAAAACAGTCATACTTACCCATATGTCACTCCAGCAATACTACATTTCTTAAAGTTCATGATATTACATGTTAGAGTACCTGTTTTATCAGAAAACAGGTATTTTACCTGGAAGAAAAAAAAAAAAAAAAAAAAAAGGAGTCTACTTGTCAACTGGCAACAAAACTCTAAGTGGAAAATAGATTAAGTACCAGGAATATTCTCAGCAACATATTGCTGAAATGTCACAATACTGGCCACTGCAGGCTTATTACAGCTTGGTTTGTCTACCAAATCCACAGGAAAATAAACCAGGAAAGGTATTTAATGGCATTAATTCTTCCTTACCTCTAAATTTTAAAAGGTTGAAATACTAGGTATCAATTGCCAAGGCCCTAGTGTGGTGAGTACAGATGTCCTTGGTTGTGCTAGTTGGACATTCACCAAATCTGTCAACTGTACTAATCTCAAAGAATAGGACTAGAAAATAAAACAAAGACTTAAGACTGTAGAAGGGTCATTAGAATTTAACACACTGAAGAAATTTTGTGTTCCAAACATCACCAGGAGCTACCTTGGGGTCTTTTCTCCCCTGTAAGCGTACTGTGCAAGCAATATGCTAGTCTAAGTCCAAGAGGCATTCTACAGGCAAAAAACAGCTGCTTTTTCTGGTATCCAGTCCTGGGCTGTCCTGAAGAGCACGATACACAGCCAGAGTCAGTACTGCCCAAGTAATAATCCTTTAACTGAACCAGTGACTTCCTGCTAGAACTTGGAGGCAACCCCAACACAGCAGCATGACTTCTTGGAGCACTAGCAGATTGAAAATTCCCACGTTCAGTGGGCCACAACAGACCAAAATTAATTCCACATTACATTCCACACTGTTTTACCTCAGTACCAGGTAAGATTTTGAACCAGCAACATTTGAGAAAGGATGGTGTTAACATCAGTTAGCCAGTTTTCAAGACCAGAATATTTTGCCTAGAGTTGCAAAAAGCCTTTCCTCAATAATTATAATTCAGTTCAAGACAGTGCACTGCACTACTAGCTAGGTGATCCTTTACCTATGTACTACATGGCTGCTGAATACAGCATTGGAAGAGAAGCCTGTGCAAGTTAGAAGTCCAAGTGGGTACCCAAACATCTGAAGAATTTCAAGTCATTAGTAATTCTATCATAAAAAAAAATTTTTAAATGTACATTTTTTTACCTGTGAACAGGTGATTCAACTAATGGATCAAAAAATTCAGTCTACTTAGACAGAAATCCTAGCAAGCCATTTCTGAAAATAACACATGGAACAACGATATACATTATTCCACATTGTTTACTTTAGACAACAATACTGCCATAATTTGAAGGTTGATAACTTCACATCAGAGTATTTTAAATACAGATCAAATTTTACCATTCATAAAGAAAGGCCAATTGGCTTAAGCAGGAAGGATACTGACTACCACCCTGCTGAGCAGCACACAATTCCATATTTTAAACAAAAACCACTGTCTCCAATACTAAATTCACACCATTTATTAAGTTCATGTGGTTCAATTACATACCTACAACTTTGATGGCCACGTAAAAAAACTAGGTACTACAAAATCTCAATAATAAAGTTGTATTTTCCAGTAAGCTTGTTTTGGGAAGCCCTTTCACTTCGAAGAAACGTCATTTGCAGAATAAACAAACCTACAGCTGCAAGTTCATATACAGTTACCTATTTGAAAGGAAAAATTACATTCTTGAAGGAACACAGTCTAAATTAGGAATTTAGATTAAATTGGAACTGTATTTTTCTGACTTGCATCTCCTGTGAAGTGGCCAGAAACATCAAGAACTAAGAACATTGACTGAGGCTGTTGGCCTGCTCTTCAGTCGAGTTTAGTCCTCTATGTTCTGTTCTGGTATAGACAGCCACAACCACAGAGCATGTCTCCAACACCCTTGAGAAAACAAGTCAGTTTAGAGTGAACGAAAGAAACAGTTTCAATTATGAAGCATAAAACTGCCGATATGACACAAATGTAATCTTGTGATACCTCATTATTTTCCTTGTAATACTTGGACTAAAGAAAGTTAAAATGTTCCATTAGCCTTCCCCACGGAGCAACAGAATAAAGCAGATTCCTACAGCTTGCTCTCATACTTTTCAACTTGCCAGAGTATATCACAAACATGACGCTCAAAAAAGTGCTGTCCTACCTGCCCAAGTTCCTCATTAAGGTTTGAGGTTCTGGCCATTGCAGGTGTATCTGTTTCAGAGTAATACATATCTATGTCCTGAAATGAGAGCAAAATTAGAGCTACATTACACAAATTAAACACTGAAGTCTCCATTCTTCTTTTACTCAGCTCAAACTTGGCTTGACTGTCTTAATGCTACTGGTAAAGGTTCTGAAGGTTTGAAATAAACATGATCCCAGGATGAATATGGGTGCCTTCTTTCTGAAGTATACCTCCATACTACATGGACATGATAAAAGCCAAATTCAACTACAGGCAGTTATAAACTAGAGATGCAAGCAAACAAAAAAAGGCAGTACAGTAGAAGAGGTTCTAATCACAGGTCTTCAGTTACAACAATCAGTTGCTCTAGCCACATCTATGATTGATGAGACAATTTTAGCGGCTCCATGAAATCACCTCCTTCTGTTACTACATTTGATTGGGTGAGTAAACAAAAGAGGTTACGTAAACCAAAGCCACTTCTCAGATAAGCAGCTCCATTACATTATCAGCAGCTCAGGGAACTGACATGTTAGACTTCATTTACTTCTATTTTATAGGATCCTACTACATTACTCTAAGTCCAAGGATTAATGTAAGGTACTTCTTTTGGTTTTGTTCAACTTAAGAAACATTTTTGGTCCACAACTGGAGAAACATTTTGAAGTCAAAGCTTGCCTGAACAGAGAGATCACTGGGTGCACATAAGGCGCCACCAACTTATCCCTTACAAAAATATGATTGATACTAGAGGTGAACTTAAGGTGAGCCTCTGGACTGAGAAACAAAGAAAGCCAGAAACAAACCTCACACCCTCAAACAAGTCTAGTCTTCCCCTCTGCTGTGGCTGAGAAAAGCTGCAAGATACTGAAGAGGTTTCAAAAGATAATTACTGAGCACGAATCAGCAGAGAGACCTTCTGCAACCAAGAGCTGAGACTTCCTTCTCATCCTCAAAGTCTAAAATACAAGTAATCATTCACACAAGACATCTTCCTATGACTAAAACTTGTAATTTCCTGTGGAACACAACAGATACAGACTAAATTCTCTGAGCTACCCCCTGCCTTTCCTAGAGGTTGCATCAGAACAGTACTCAGAAAACCTTGAAGATGTTATGTTAGGTAGGGGTTTTTTTAAGATATCAATATCCAGAACTCAGATTCTTGTTACTTACCCAATTTATAAAAAGAGCCTGAGTAAACTTGACAACTTCCAATGTCACCAGAAGGCTGATTGGAATAAGGTTGTTGTACAAGATTATAAAGGTCAGCAGATTGTATCCAAAGTTGACAGACAGCAATTCTGTGGATCAAAAGACATGGGACATCAGCAGGCAGAAATCTGTGTGTTGTAGGGGCAGCACAGGGGCAACCACTTTTATGCAACTGGTCTAATCAGATTTAGCAGTGCTAAAATAATCAGCAAGTATGCTGATTTCCTAGTATAAGGGCCTTTTTAATATAGATTTCAATAGCACATATATAAAACACCCACAGAACACATGCCTGAATACACAGCACATTATGCCAGGTGAAGAAGGGCAAGATTGGTGAGGCTATATATTAGAGAAAAGAACACTTTCTGAACAATTTTTGCTAAGCAGATGGTGAGAAGGACAATATTTCCCACTATAACCCAAATTTAGATATTTATCTGATGTGTCAACTGCCCAATTAAGAGCCACCAATATCACTAGTAATGTAACTTTATCTTTTACAAAGTGCCTACTTGTTTCAGTGGAGTTGCAAAACAAAAAAAAATAAATACTAAAATGTGTTATAAAAATCTGCAAGCATTGTCAGAATTGAGAAGTTACTCCCACTAAAGAAACCTAAGAGAACAAGTTGACTGTTAAACAGACATCTAGTAAATGAACTAAGGCACCCTGCTTAAGCAAAGAAGCTGTTACTAATGGTGACAACACTGGGCGAAATGCCCAACTAAGTTGCCCATCACAACTGGTTCTAAAGGAAAAGGGAAACATTTATGAACAGTCAGAAGGAATGGACAAGGCTCAGCAAAGACACAGGATTAAGGCTCCTGCTCTTAGTGCCACCCACAGCCTCTCTTTACAACCAAAGTCTCCACATTTGTATGCCCTTCACTTTCCTAGAAGCTTAGGGAGGCACTTCGGTCAGCATGCAGAACGTTTTGCACAATGGCATCACAGTCCACAGCTAAGGATTTTCTGCATTAAAAGTTGATTAGAAGTCAGGGGAGCAAACTAGGAGATGGAAGCCAGAGAAAATGACTGAAGTGGAATGAAGATCAAAGCAAGATCTGAGGCACAGGAACCTGCAAGTGTTCAATCATTTTACAGAAAGAGTAGAAGCATGTTTGATACGGGAAAATCTTTTTGCAATACCATTTCTACAGAAATTAGACATTCAACCGAAATTTAACATCTACCTGCCTAACCTGAAAACTCATCTTTTCTGTGTGGGCAGTTAGAGGAACTGTGTATTCAATCTACAAAAAAAGCATCTATACAGACTATTGTCATCCCAGTTTTTGCAAGCTGCACTTGTTTTATATAATCACAAGTTGAAGAGTTAGTTCCATTCGTCTTTTCCAGTATTACATCCATCACTGGAAGGCACAAATTTAAACTTCCTCATTACAAGACAAGGGGGAAGGCAGGAAAAAACTTTGAAGCTGCTGATATTGCCACTAGAAGACATTATAACCACCAAAACCCAGAGTCAAACATGAGGTGCTTCCATGCTCTTCCTGTGTGAATGCTTTCTGTTACTACCACAGCTAAAGTTTGTAAACTGCAGAAGACTTTGTGATCTGTTTTGCCAGCACCAGGAGAAAAGCCATTTTCAGTCTGCCATAATTCTCAGATCTGCATCTCACAATGCTAGTAATAACATTTTATAGCTAGCTAATATAACTCTCTCAAAATTGAAGTCTACTGGAGAGCATTTCATTCTTAATGTCCATCTTTAATATTTCATAGAGTCATACAATGTTAAGGAGTTGGAAGGGACCTTAAAACCATCTAGTGCCAACCTCCCCTGCTCTTGGCAGAGATACCTCCCCACTAGACCAAGTCGCTCCAGGCCTTATTCAACCTAGCTTTGAACTCTGCCAGGGTTGGGGTATCCACAACCTCCCTGGGCAACCTGTGCCAGTGTTTCACCACCCTCACAGTAAAGAATTTCTTCCTAATATTCAACCTAAATTTCCCCTCTTTCAATTTGTACCTATTAGTCCTTGTCCTACCACTATAGTTCTTAATGAGGTTCCTTGTAAGCTCCCTTCAGATACTGGAAGGCTGCTATGAGGTCCCCATGCAACCTTCTCTTCTCCAGGTTGAACAGCCCCAGCTTCCTCAGCCTGTCTTCATAGAGAAAATGCTCCAGTCCTCTTATCAACTTCATGGCCTTCTCTTCTCTGGACTCAACAAATCCATGTCCTTCTTACGTTTGCAATACCAGAACTGCACGCAGTACTCCGAGTGGGGTCTTGTGAAAGCAGAGTAGAGGAGAAGAACCACCTCCTTGGACCTGCTGACCACACTCCTTTAGATGCAGCCCAGGACACGCTTGGCTTTCTGGACTACTAACACACACCGCTGGCTCATGTGGAGATTTTCGTCAACCATCACCCCCAAGCCCTTCTCTGCAGGGTTTCTCTCAATGACTTCTCAGCCCAACCTGCAGGTCTGCATGGGATTGCCTCAATCCAGGCACAGAAACTTGCACTTTGCTTTGGGGAATCTCATTAAGTCCTCTTGAGCCTGTCAAGATCCCTTTGAATAGCACCCCTTCCCTTCAGCATGTCAACTGCACCTTGGAGTCATCAGCAAGCTTGCTGAGGATGCACTCAATCCCACTGTCCATGTCGCCAAACAGGTTGAACAGTATCAGCCCCAGCACCGACCCCTGAGGGACACCACTCCTCGCTGGCCTCCATGTGGACAATTACTGACCACAACTCTCTGCATGCAGCCATCCAGTCAGTTCTTTATCCACTGAGTGACCAATCAATCAAATTCAGGTCTCTCCAATTTACAGACAAGGATGCCATGAGGGACAATGTAAAATGTTTTGCATAAGTACAGGTAGACAATGTCAGTTGCTCTCCCCCACTTACCAAGTTGGCTGTTACCAATCACCTCTTTCTTTTCCATGTGCCTTAGCATAGTTTCCATGAGAATCTGCTCCATGATCTTGCCTTGCACAGAGATAAGACTGACTGGTCTGTAGTACCCTGGGCCTTCTGCTCTCCCCTTTTTAAGAATGGAGGTTGTATTTCCCTTTTTCCAGTTGTCAGAGACTTCATTTTTTCCAAAATAATGGACAGTGGTTTAGCAATTTCATCCACAAGCTCCCTCACGACCTGGGGATAGATCTCCCTAGGTCCCATGGACTTGTGTACATTCACATTACTTAGATGGTCATGAACCTGATCCTCTCCTGCAATGGGCTTAGGGTCTTCATTCACCTCAATCCCTGCATTTGCCTTTCTGGACTTGGGCAGTATGGCTACAGCACTTGCTGTTGGAGACCGAGACAGACAAGTCATTGAGAACCTCAGCCTTCTCTTTGTCCAGGATAGGCAGGTGTCTCATTTCCTTCCAGAGACGACTCACATTATCCCTAGTCTTTCTTTTGCTCACAACATACCTATCAAAGCCAGTAGAACTAAAAAATTCAAGGACTATGAATGATATCAAATAAAAACCCCTAATAAGCACACTAAGAGATTAGTTTTCTCATTACAAAATATAGAAGTCAAAGACAAACTTTACACAATACATATAAAATCACAACTTAGCACTTAAGTTTTCTCTGCAAGAATGGATCAGCATACTTGACTCAAAAACACAGAAATCCTTTGCTTTTGTATATAAGCAGAAGGCTGAAGTCAGTATCATCTGACTGATACCCACTATCCTGCAGTCAAATACAGTCAGACATATTTAAAGCAGCAGTGCATGACCGCCTCTGAGAACAAATTTGTTTACGACATCACCACAGACCTGAAAGAACTTCAACACTAGATATCCAAGAATAACTCTTACCCCTCTTCTGCTTCTGCCCTGCTCCCTGGGAGGTAGCCCAATGATATTTACCTAACCTTTAGAAGGTTTTGTTAACAAACGTCATTGGCAAGTTCACTTACACCAGCCCACTCTCAAAAAAAAACAAATAATAATGTTGGGTCATCAAAGAGTTAGCAAGAGGCTTTGTTTCTTGTTTTTCTCTTTCTTATTTTATGCAATCCTTTAGTGGAGCCAAAGGCTTGGCTGGCCCTACAGTCTGATACATCCCTGGCCCAGTGCCTGCATACTCACTGTTGGAGCCAAGGTACCAGACGACTTCACCATGTGTTCTGTTCCACAATAAGGCACCTACAGAACTGACAAGGGCCATTACCAGGAGAATACAGAACAAAACCAGGATCTGCATGTTGGTCACTTTCTCCACATTTGATCTCTTCAGAGGTGCTTTGGTTGAATTCTAAACAGGGGGAAGAAAAAAAAAAAAAATAAAAAAGAGTCTGGCAGGGGCTTACACACAAGAAAATTGAAAATTCAGTTTTTATTTTCTGAGTTCATTTCAGCACTTGCTATTTCAATGCTAACAAAGGTAAATTAAGAGCCAATACTCCTAATGACTCCAAAATTGACAAGATATGAGAGAAATAGGACATTCAGTTCGACAGACACAGTATGCTCTATGTCCTAGCTGTCCATTCCACTGACAGTTAGTAGTTGTGAGCAACACAAACATGTTGCTGGTTTCTCCAAGCACTCCCTGCCATTAAGGCAATACAGGACTGTAATATTAACCTAATTATCAACATGGTCATTACCATCCCCTCACAGCTGCTAAACATCAGTTTTAAATGTTGCTCAGCTACCAGACAAAATAAGATGAAATAGATCGTTTTCCTTACATATTGAACTGCTTTCAAATACTTAAGTGTTTACACATGTGCAGAGGCAAACTCAAGTACAACAGTATCCTTACACTCCTCAAGACCTTCAGGTCTTAAATAGTTATAATGAACCAAACCATTTCATAAAATCAAGTCAGTAGCAAAAAGAATACCGGAAAGATCAACTTATATCAGAACATGCTCTAAATCTCCTTAAAAGCTTTACCTGCATGAGTTTTGTATCATGTCCTGTATACACAACAATACCGAAGACCCACTGAGTGTTTCTCAGTTGTGCACCTCTCAGCAAGATCTGGTCTGGACCAATAGGAACTGGACTGCAAAACAAAAGTACTTATATCTTTCAATTCTTGCTAACACTTTAAGGCAAGCAATTCTACTTTCAGCCTTACTCCCCAGTCCAAAAAAAAAAAAAAAAAAAAAAAAGAAGCCACCAAAGGAGAAGTAATATAATGAGCTTAGATTGTCTACCCAACTGAAGAAAGCACTGAAACCTATGTCTATTTCCTGCTAAAGCACAGTAACACCAAGCTGATACAAGGCAGCTGTCCTAGTTACCCAAAACATGAGAACTTACACAGCAGCCATAAGCCTATTCTGCACTTGACATTGGCTAATATATTCCCTGTCAAATCAGGGACAGAGAAGCATCACACTTGCCAAGAGAGCATCCATTCCAAGCACACAATACCACATACACCATTCAACAAGCATTTGGGAAAAACTGTATTAGTCACATGATTTTCAAGAGGGATGCAAGTGATGATCTACTGTTCTTGCATCTGTCACTACACAGCTTACTGCCCAAGGAGTGTTTTGTGAAGGAAAACAGATACAGACAAATGAAATCTCTATGTTTCTACTAACCTTGCAAAATCTGTGAATTTAAGTGCTAAAACTAACTACTTTTCTTCCAAGAGTTGAAATAAACCTAAGTCAAGATGATAAAAGCCTCCAGAGTCTGAGACTGTTTTTCTCTATAGACCTGACCTTGGTATACCCTTTGAGTCTAGTCGGAAGGGAAAGGTTTACACTACCTCTGTGTATCTTGTGTAACAAGAAGACCCTAAAAACCCCAACCATTTCCTCAACTCCTCTTTCAAATGTACCTTTCAATAAAAAGCCCACCATAATTCCAAAGAAACCAACGCTTCCAGAAGGCTCCATACAAAGACCAAACTGTGTTATCTTATACTGGCAGATGCTCTGATTAACAGTAGTTATTACCCTCCTCTTCCCCAGCAAAAACATGCATATACTCAGTGTTGTAGACTAAAACTACACAAAACATTCTTCCTAACCAAGTGAATTTATAGCTTTGTTGCCAAATCAATACCTTTGACCATCTAGACGCAAGTTTCCAGTGAAATCATAAAGATGACGGTTGGGTCCTTCACATTCTATCCTTCCAGTTACTTTCATCAATTCCTCTCTGGACTGGAGACTGGCAGTTTGAGACAAGCCCTGCAAAGACCAACCAAAAGGAGATTCTTGTCAAAAGTTATTATTAGAAGGCAACCTAGGAGAATGGTGCTTTCTTTTAATATCTACGGTATCAAATGTAATTAAATGTGTGGAGGTTTGTTGGTGAGGGTCTTCCTTTGGTTTGGTGGAGTCTTCTTGTCAGGTTTTTTTTTTGGTGGTGGTGTTTGTTCTCAGCTTTGGGTTTTTCTTGGTTTGTTATTCAATACCTCTATACTGCAAGAAGAGCCATTGTGGACACATCAATCTGCTAACATAATATTGATTTAAATCTCTCTACACAAGACAGTTATATTTCCTACTTGATCTTTCCGTAACCAGGAGGAAAGTGACATCCACAAAGCATGAAGCTGAACATGAGCAGGAGGAAGTAGGAGACAACCAGTATAAACAGGCCTGGCATTTCTCACAAAGTATAGCTCCACTGATGCATTAACTCTTAAGAGTAGTCTTTCTTGGGTCACTGCAGCCATTATGCTCTCATCCTACCCAAGGTTAATGAACAAGCTGCCATGCAGCTGTAACCTGATGAATTGCTACTCCATCTCAGAGTGCACATAGAGCACTCCACTGCTTTCCAGCTATGAACAGAGCGATCCATTTCATGTCTCTTTTGCCAGACACCGCAGCACTGCAAGCCAGAAGGAGGCCTTATTTTGTACTTGAAGTTCATGTCCTGAACAAACAGCATCTTACAGGAACTCCAGGTTTGATCTATTAGGCTGATCCAGAACAATCACATTTCTACTGATGTAATAAAGAAGCAGCAAGTGTACAGCTTCTTAAAAACAAATAATCTGTTTCAAAATCCTAATCTATTTTTTTTAAAGAAAAAAGGCAAAGATTCTTAACTATTCCTAAACACTATAATCAACAGCATTTCTTTAACAAAACTACAAAGATCTGAATAGATTCCACTACTTACCACACAGACACAAAAAGTTCAACATGTAAAAGGTCTGTTTCAGCTTCTGCCTCTGCATAATGCTCATAGAATGGTACTTGTGACAGGAGAAACAAGTATAGCTGATATTTATTTTTTTTTTTAAGTACAGCACTTAAATCCACTTACTGGATCTTCAGCAAAACACAGCTGAAGTCTGATTTGTTTTTGTGGGCTTAAAGTACTTGTTTCAGATTAGTTCCTTACACTTGCACATGATGGGTTTGCACATACTTGGGTCTGTGTCTGTTGAAAAGGCAGCTTAGATCCCCCTGAAAAGAGATGACTTTTTTTTTAATACGGGTATTGTTGTCATGCAAGTTGGATGCTGCTTCATAGCTAATATTAAACACCTAAATGAAAAAATAAAAGGTGAAATACAGTTTGGTTTACCTGTCGTATTTTAAGATTCGTCTCCCCATCAAGATTAGCTGTTTCAATATAGCACATGGCCTGTGGTTCACTGTAAGGAGCATAAGATTTTCAGTATTAAAACTCAGTAGTTTTTATATACTACTTTTGCATTAATATGATCCACAACAGACTTCTCCATTACACTGCAGAAGACAGAAGACAAAATATATTGGTGGTATATGGCCATGGAAGAGCCAGATTAAAGTAGATATTTAATATCTTTGGATATGAACACAATCATACAACCAACTACAGAGACAGACAAGGCTAAATCAGAAGGTTAATGAGGATTTAACAAGTCATGGTAAACTTAAATGTCTGAAGAGGACTATTTTACATTACATTGCTTCAGGCTGCAAGAGCTACGGATGAAATACTAAGTGTTGAACAGTGTAAAAAGATGTGTTTGGATTAAGAGGGTGGTGCTCTCCACTACTGAGTTCTGTGAACTGCACACACAGAAGATCATGTCTACAAGGTCACCTTAAAGTTGCAGGGCTTGTAGAGGTATATCTGAAGTCACTGATAAACAACTTGGTTCTTTGGAGCACCAGAAAAAGGCTTGTTAACACTGAGGGCTGTGATCTGCATCTTCCAGAGATGTTTCTGCTCTTATCAATAAGGGCAAAGATCTCCCCCACAGAACTGAACTGTCTGTTAGTCAAGTTCTTATCTACACGTAACATGGAGAAGCTCTGCATAGGTAGCACCTGTGATAAGGAAGGGTGTTTTTACCAGATCTTTTCCTGACTCAAGAAGTAAAACCTGTGTATGGTGCTACCAAAACTGTTTTTCTGCCAACTATCTTCCTAAGCTGCTAAAGAATATTAGTTTCCCATCTGGATTCAAATCAAGTGCTTCTTCAGCATATCACTTCTCATCCTTGATATGTTGTTGCTAGCTTTTTTTTCAAAGCAACCAGTTCCTTTAACAGCAAATATACTCAATCATCAGAAGAGACAGTAACAAAGGCTTCTTCAGACAAAAATAATTAAGAAATTGACAGGTACATTTGCAGCACAGTAAGAAGGTATGTTATTTTCTCCAAATATTTTTTTCCTTAAAAAAAGTTCCATCTGTTCTTTGTCCCCTCCTACACAGGCCATCTGAATTTGCACCCCAGAACACCACAGATTAAGTCCAGCTTGATTCTGATTTACCTCTGTCAAACACCTTATCTACTACAACTGAAGTGGTTAGCTCAGGAGGGAGACCTTTTGCAATACAATTCCTCTCATTTCCACAGAAACAGGGAAGTGTTTCCATACAAAGTTGTGTTTGGATACAAATACTTTTCCATGCATGTAAATTGATTCTCTATATAAAATTAATTTGATTCACCTTTTTTTTCTATGTGGGAAAAGACAGCCAAGATAAAAATAACTGTTTATTTTATCTCTGACAATTAGCTCAGACACAGAAAATCAACACACACAAGCAAATGACCCCACCCCCTTCAGTGCAGGCAAAGCCTTCTGGTGAACTGAGGACACTTAGTATTGTCATTTAAAAGAATGACGGGAATAATACCAATTATAAAGCAGAACTGCCATAGAAATTGCTATTTATTTCAAGCAAAGCTTCTCCCAAATCAACATGCTTTAGGTTAAATTCTCTAATTATTATGGGGTTATCAATGACAGCAGGTTAATAGAAGAGTAGAGAACAAAAAGCTGACCCACACAAGTTAAGAAATAAATCAGAAAAGATTTTAGTATAATACATTAGAGAAGTTCTTAAGTAAAACAAATATTCCTCAACACTGAAACAGAATATTACTGATGTCAAAGTTTAGCCTAACTAACTGCACATTAAGGTTGGCAACTGCTTTTTTGAAGCTGGGGTTTGTTTTAAAAAAATACAATACTGGATACTATGGAAAGAAGGTATCCATCCTGCAACAGTTCAAAATGATTGAGCTTTACCCATATAGCTTCCAAAAAACCATGAAACCACCTAGGAACAGCACAGATGAAAATGATGGAACAGAAAAGAGAGGAGCTTGAAAACCTATTTCTTTTTAAAAGTTGGGTCATGTAAGGGAAGTGTAACGAGGAAGACCAGAGAAGGTTGCAGTCACTGTTGAAAAGCACAAACCGGAGGAAATTACAAAGAGCAGCAATGTGACATAAGATTTGGCTACTGGAAACATGTTTAAGAATAGAAGTTGTGCTGTTGTCTTGTTTAAACCTCATCTGTCTACATGGATGGTGGTCTTGATTCAGCCTCAAGTTGTTCTATACAATATAGAATCTAAATTAGCAGACAACAATTCACACGTTTTTAGGAACTAAGAAACCTAGAAAAATTACAGAGCTGGGCAATTACCAGCTACATGAAGTTTAACAAAGACAAGTGCCAGATTCCATGGAATGCTGCAACCCTGGATGTATGTATAGACTGGAGAGAAGGACTGCAGAAAGGGAGCTGGGATCCTGGTCAATGGCAAGTTGAATGTGAGTCAACAGTGTGCCCTGGCAGCCAAGAGGACAGACTGTGTCCTGGGATGCAGCAGGCACAGCATTGTCAGCCGGTTGAGGGAGCTCTGTCCTGCTCTGCTCTGTGCTGTGCTGGTGCAGCCTCGAACGCTGTGTGCAGTTTTGGGCACCATAATGTAAGAAACATATAAAGCTATTAGAGAAAGTCCAAAGGAGGGCCATGAAGACAGAAAAAGGTCTAGAGGGGAAACCATAAGAGAAGCAGCTGAGGTCACTGGTCTTGTTTAGCCTAGAGAAGAGGAGACTGACGGAAGACCTCATAGCAGTTTACAGCTTCCCCATGATAGGATGCAGAAGGGCGGGCACTGATCTCTTTGGTGACCAGTGACAGTACCCAAAGGAATGGCATGAAGCTGTGTTACGAGCAATACTGGGAAAAGGTTCTTTATCCAGCGAAGAGAGTTGTTTGGGCACTGGAACAGACTCCCCAGAGAAGTGGTTACAGCACCCAACCTGACAGACTTCAAGAAGCATTTTGACAGCACACTCAGGCACATAGTATGAGTCCTGGAGCTGTCCTGTGCAGGGCCAGGAGTTGAATTTCCATAATTCCTGTGGGTCCCTTCCGACTCAGGATATTATATGATTCAATGACCAAGCTTTGTTTCTCAGTACAGCATTATGAAGAAATTGTCCCATATTTCACAAACTAAAGCAAGCATAATTCAAAAGTTTACTGTTTCTACCATGATTGAGATGGGCTGCATCAAAGACCAGTAGTAAACAAACAAAGTCCAAAAGCTACTTTGTTACTTGATGCCAACTGGCCTAGCCTATTAGATTTACTCTTTGAAACAGAAATCTTTCCAGAGGGGAAGGAAAATACACTCAATACTCAGTGGAAATAATTGGAAGAAAACTTAAAACTTCCTTATTAATTAAGTGGAGGGATTCTCAGAAGGCCATAGAACAACTGACTGCATTAAGCTTGTGTAAAGGACCTTCAGACTTCCAACAAACTCATCAACACATAGTATTATATACCTGTAATTCAAAAAGTAAAGTGCTGAAGAAGACTTCTTTTTGAAGAGCCTATCTACAATGATACAAGAATCATTGCCTAGTAAAGCAGTGTTTTGACGTTGCTGAAATTTGATTTTAGATGTGGAGTAAAATTAGTGCCATCTGATGTCTGGTTTTATTAATGGCAAATACAGAGTTTTAAGTCCTCTGCACCTCAGTTCATCAGACACATCATTTCCACACCCATTCAGGATACCTGGAAGATATAATGATCATGTCTGCTGGAAGATGTTGCCCATTGGTGACCTTCACAATATCGCCTACTGCTACCTGTGGTCAGGAGTAGAGTAGCATGGAAAAGAAAAACAAACAGTTCGCTTGTCTGGAATGTTAGTTTGTTATTTTCTTTCACCCAGCTGAAAGAACAGCATCATGCACAGAACAGCTACAGACAGTGGGTCTGAAAGTCAGAGTAGTTTTCACTGCAAATTTGGAAATATCAAAGCCTTCCCTTTTCTGAATGCAGAGTAAACACTTCTCTAGAGAAAAAAGTTGATATCCTCAATTGGAAATCATCAATTTCTGTGACTTATATTTAGTAAAAATTACTTTTCTTCTATAATTCTGCCATTATCCCAATTTAAGAGTTTTTCTTTAGCTTTATTTAACAGAAAGAACTTTTCCCTAGGAAAAAAATTAACTTTAAACTTTACCTTCCTTATTTAACAGAAAGAACTTTAAAAAAAAATTAACTTTAAACTTTACCTTCAAGTATCAAGAGTTTGTTCTCTTCCTACTCTACATTACTTACCTATCCAATCATCATTACAGTTTTCCCTTAATCTTCAACTGCTTGTACCAGTCCCTAGCAAATACTGTCATCTGTACAGACAGATACTATAATACAATTCTTCACTGACCTATACTTACATGAGACATGCAACATTCTGAATTCTGGAATACTGAGGGCCTAAGACTTTCAGCACCTTGAGTTCGCCACCAATGCACAGGACTGACATTCTAAGAAGACTCAAGTACCACTCTCAAAACAGTAAATCAGGTTTGCCTGGCAAGCGTCAGTCTGCTTAGCACCAATGCACTGCTAAGATTTTGAAATGGGCTTAAAATACTTTAAAAGACATTCATTTGTAAAAAGTGAAACATATTTGAACAGGCAGGTCCATTAGTTTTACTCTGATCCCACTGAAAATAAATTCCCTACCAATTTCAGAATTAAAAAGCCCAAACCATCAGAAGTCTGCCTTGAAGTGATCAAGGTGGATAATACAGAACTGTTATTCCGTAACAATAAATGTAAGCCCAGACAATATGCAGATACAGACACAGGTGTATAAGAAAACCAGACTACAGGCTCAGCCTTAAGAATCTTTCAATTCACTGTCCTTTCTACAAAAATAGGACATGGAACAGCATAAACAGGAACCAACCTCAGCCATCAGAATCCCTGGCAATCTTCAATTTCTACTACAGCCTAACAC